AAAAAAAAAAAAAAAAAGTTTATAAAATAGGTGTGTAATAGCATATACCATCTGGGTTTGTGTAAGTACACTCTGGTGTTCACACAACAAAATCACCTAAAACACATTTCTCAGAATGTAATTTCGTTGTTAAGCAATGCATGCCTATAGAACATACGTATGACCTTTTTGTACCCTTTTTTGTGTCTTAACCTCTTTAACTCCTTTTTGAAATAAGTTCAGACATAATTAAATCAACACTTATAAGTCAGAGCTAGTTTAAGGTCAAGTTGGGAAATGGGCACAGAGACATCATAAAGTTCAGTGTACTCTTTATTCCTTTGGTTCCCACTGCTTGACTGTGCCCTAAAGGTACAAGTGTACTGCTGGATTCCCCTTACACTTTTAGCCCACAGTGAGGATTCCAGCCTGTAACCATACTCCTGTCCATCCAATGTCCAGTCTTACCACCCACACTGTTCCCTTTATATCTGGTCTACTTACCTCTTCTTGAGGCTCAGGTGCTGTGAGGTTGCTTTCTCCTGTAACTGCAGAGACTTGAAGCTGAGGGCCTTGGCCCTATAAAGAGAAGAGTTCTGCAAGTGAGAGGCAGCTCAACCTCCCCAGCAACTCTGCTTGGAAGGGTCTTCTGTGCCTTATACTTTACAAGGGTCATATGTAATACAAAGAACAAACATATAATGTTGTTTCACAAGAGCCTGAAGGCATCAGAGAATCCCTTCCTCTATCCTCTTTTACAGTGAAGAAACCAAGATTCAAGGGGTGAAAAGACTTGCTGGGACAGGAAACCAGATGTTTGGACTCCAGAGTTGTTTCCATAATCAAATGTGGTCTGTGTGACATGTCTGTATGGGACTGTGAAGTCTTAAAGCTACTGCCTGCAAATTTTATTTATTTATTTTTTTGAGACAGAGTCTCACTGTGTCACCCTTAGTAGAGTGCTGTGGCAACATAGGTCATAGCAACCTCCAACTCTTGGGCTATTCTCTTGCCTCGGCCTCCCGAGTAGCTTGGACTACAGGCACCTGCTACAATGCCCGGCTATTTTTTGGTTGTAGTGTCATTGTTTCGCAGGCCCGGGCTGGATTCAAACCTGCCAGCTCTGGTATATGTGGCTGGTGCCCTAGCCACTGAGCCACAGGCGCTGAGCCAGCCTGTCAATTTTAAACTACCCTTCTTAAGGAAGCACTGCAATTCTCATACTCAAGTAATATAACCCATGATAAGCAGTTAGGAGAAGCAAGTGGTTTCTTGGGAAAAGTTCTAGGTTCTGAGATGGAAACCTAAGATGTAGAAAGCCCCATCAAGGTTGAACACAGTGGCAAATGCCTATAGTCCCAGCTAGCTACTCAGGATGCTAAGGTGGGAGGACCACGTGAGGCCAGAAGTTTGAGGGTGCAGCATGTAGTAATCATACCTATGAATACTCATTGTATTTCAGTCTCAGTAACATAAGGAGACTCCATTTCTTTAAAAGAAGATTTTAAAAGAGAGAGAGAGGGGAAGGGAGGGAGGGAAAGGAGAGGGGGAAGGAAGGAAAAGAAAGCCTTATCTAGGAAATGCTATACCAGAAGAAGTTTGGCACTCTTAAAGTTTAAAACAAATTTATTTCTTTATTTATTTATTTAATGAGACAGAGCCTCAAGCTGTCCCCCTGGGTAGAGTGCCATGGCATCCCAGCTCACAGCAACCTCCAACTCCTGGGCTCAAGCGAGTTTCCTGCCTCAGCCTCCTAAGTAGCTGGGACCACAGGTGCCTGCCACAATGCCTGGCTATTTTTT